TCAATGCATTTTTGGCCTTAAAGCAGCCGCCATTTGGCTATCGTTAATGAGATCATGAAACAAATGCACATACATATTTGTGACATGATGTACCTTGTGTGTGTGTGAAGTTTGAACTCGATCAATCCAAGCATGTCTCAGATACGGATCCAGAACTGAATTCATTAAAACAAAATTGCCGCCAGTCGGCCATTTCAAACCCGATCCCCCCGAAAAAATGACGTGCATCAAGGTCCTATTATGTTTAATGTATGTACCAAATTTAAACAAAATCCGTCCATGCATAACTGAGATCCGATCCGGAATGGTGAAAATGTGCGATTTTGAAGCATTTTCAGCCTTAAAATGGCCGCTATTCGGCTATCGTTAATCGGATCATGAAAAAAATGCATATAATGTGTGATGTATGAGTGAAGTTTGAACTTAATCGGTCCATGCATGTTCGAGATACAGGTGATCACGGGCGCACGCACGGACGCACACAGGGCAAAACATAAGTCCCCGTTTTCGGACTACGTTCGAACGGGGACTAAAAAACGCCGATCAACTAATGTATATCGTTTAAAAGTATATTGAATGACATAGTGATATTAAAAGTACGGTCCAGAGGTATAGCTTCCTCTCATATTTTAGCATTTGGTGGCGCACTTTCGACGAGAGTCGGAAATCCGGAAACAGTCGACCGTTTCAGGATAGGTGGGCGTGGCTACAGCACGGGAAATATCTCAAATTTACATGGATACGAGTAATCATTTTCAGCAAAAAAATCAATAACTGCCCATTTCAGTGGGACACAGATCTAAAATGGGAAGTGTGTGAGTGGGCATTGCACAGGCACTTTAAGCTGGTTTTAACTGAATTGAAGATAGTAATCATCATTTGATAATGCTGGGTTAATACTACCAACAAAAATGGGGTGACTGGACACATTTTTTAGAAAACAAGATTCTGGAGCATCTCAGAAAATGGTAAAAATTTGCATTTTTACATTTGTATCCATGAAAAAATTATTTCTTCATATCTTAAAATATTGTTTCTACAATGAGATGAAAAAGTTGTATATTATTGCTGATTCTTATAGCCTATTTGATCTGTTAGTAAAACTTGTAAATAACAGTAATGTCCCACTGTTGGTTTATATCTACTTCAATACTGTCAAATATGTGTAAAATACTTTATTTTAGCTGGAATTAATATTTGCTGACTTTTTGGGTGTTTTGTATGGAATTTATTTTCACTTATTTTTGATGCGTTGAATGTAAAAGAAAAAGGTCTATTCGCTGGATTTTATTTTCACTGAATCCTTCCTTTCATCAAAAATAGCGAAAATAAAACATTCCACAGTACTTTAATTTCGCTGGAAATAATTCTCACAGAAAAGACGTTTTAGGTATATTTATTTGATAAGTTGAATGTAAAATATAGGATAAAATAAAATAAAATATATATTTGCTTGATTTTACTTTCAGCGAAAATAAATTCCAAGTAAAATGAAGTATTTTCCAGTAGTGCAAATATGATATCCACAACTGCTGCCATGGTTATATATCATCAATATCAGATATCCATCCGTAGAGACTTTCAGCAGAAAATTTACATTTAATGAGTTTCCATGGTAATAATAGTATATATACAATGGAAAGTTATTTCCCATAATTCATTGCATGTATGTTCAGTGACATAATAGTGTAGTATTTTAGCTTTACCTGCTTCACCTTTTTCACCAACAGACTTTCTAGCCCAAATTTTTCTGAACCTTTTTTTTTTAATATTCTTCAATATTTCTAAAAATGAACCTTAATTCTGGATCCAAAATACAAAATTTGAGTAAATTTTCAGTTTTTGCTTAAGAAAAATCATCTGAAGGAAAGTACAGACTATAAACAGAACTGTTTTGTGAATTGTGATGTAAAAGGTTAAGAATTAAATAGATTTCTCATAAATCATTGGTCATCAAAAATAAACTTTCATTGTAGATTTGCTGCTTGCTAAATCTTTAATTTTTACTTTGGGGGTAGGTGTCAGGATAGACATGGCTCAAATTAACCATTATTGCTTGAAACTTAAGTGCAAGATGTGAGTGTATAGAGATTACAAAGCATGATATGTCCATATGGTTTATTTCTGACTATTCTGTAAAAATCTTTCTTCTTCCTGTTCAGGATAAAAGCAGTAAAAGCTTAATTTTTTTTGTCATGTATTTTGTAAAAAAAACAAAAAAACAATCTTCATTTATTTAAAAAAAAAAAGGTGTTCTCCCTTCGCCTGGAACTTCACTTATCTGAGAATCCTGATATTATTGGAGGTCTGGACTAAATAGAATATTTGTATTGTATGTAATGCAAAAAGATGCTCTCCTACAGACGTACATAACTG